TATAGACATCTATTTCTTGTATTTTTGCATCAAACAAACTGTATGCCAGTTCTTCGGATACCCATATCTGATCTATTTTTGTATTTGTATCTCTATTTGTCTATATAAATCTTCTGGTTTTTGAATAAATTGCTCTAAAGGCATCTATGAATTCTTGTTTTTATAGCCAGTTCAAGAGAGAGTCTTGTTTAATTTGCTTTAAGATTGGTATTCTGTCCAGTTCTGGGTTGGTTATACTGTTAAAATCTCTCATTACTATTACTTGTGATCTAAAGGATCGGTTGATGAATTTTTTAATGATCTTTTTCTGTACAATTTTCTTTTTATGTTCATTGTTTAGAGAATATAAAGCATTATTATTATAATCTTTAGTTGCTTAAAGACTAAGCTTACTAAGATTAGATATTTATTGACTTTATCTATTTGCCCTATATGTTTCTCTTATTGTTTACTTATTAGTAAACCGACTCCTGAACCTTTTTTCTTGTCTTTGTCTGAGCTTGTCCAGAAGCTCCTATATTTTGTATATTCTTTAGTTAACCATATCTCTTCTTTACTTGAGATGTTAGTTTCAGCAACTTCTAAAATGTCTATTGAGTTATCTATTGTCTACTTATATAAAGAATCTATTTTTTGAGAGTTGCTTTTAATACTGTTAATATTGTGAGTTGCTATATTAAATTTTGTTCTTCTTCTTGTGTAATTTTTATTTATACTATTTATATTGTTTATACTTTCTTCCCAAATTGACACCTGTCTGTATACAACCTTCTTACCCCTTCTGTCTTCTGTGTTCAATGATCAACAAAAGATCTTTTTACTATTACTCTTTTCTTTGCTACCTTCTTGCAGAAAGGAATTAATTCTTTTGCAGATTTTCTGTGATTCAACTATTGCTTCTATTTAGGAGCGATAAGCAACTTTTGGTTGCTTACTCAGTCTTTCAAGTCATTGTAGAATTTCTACCAATATTGACTGATATTGATTGATTCTGGCTGCTAAGTTATTTTCTTCTTGTGCATTTTTATTTCTTGAACTTTTACTTTTCTTTGGGCTAAAGTGACCTTTTTTCTTTTTCTTGGAATTGTTATTGTTTTCTTTGTTACTATCAGTTCTACTATTAGAGTTAGCTTCTGATGATGACATTTTATCGTAGCTGTTTCTTTTTTCTTGTGAGATCTTTATTTTTCTTCATCACTAGACTCTTTTTTCTACTTCTTTCTACTGTCAACTTTCTTTTCTTTCTTGAATATATCTTCTGATAGAGTGTCTTCATTCTGCTTTGGTCGAACCTATTGGAGCAATAGATTGTTGTACTTTACTGATTTTCTTTTTGCTTCTTCTATTTCTCTTTTGTTCGCAAAGATTACTTTTGCTATTTGCTTCATGAAGCCACTTCTTCTTTTTGGAATGTAAACTGCTTTTTCTTTTCTATCTTTAAGGTATCTTAGTAAAAGAGTTTTGGAAAGACCTTCTGTGATTCCTGTTAGTTTTGCTACAAATTTGTGTCTTTTATCTCTTTTTTTATGATCTTCTTTTTCTGTAAATACACAAGCTAGCCTTTCATCACCTACTGGAAGAACCCAAGGTATGTCTTTGTTTTCTACAACTTCACTAAATTCTACCACTGCTAAAGCTCTGCTACCCTTTTATTTGATATATATGTCTTCTATATCGCCTAATTTCTTATAAAATATATTTAATTTCTTTTATATTTATATCCTCTGGCAGATCTCAGATTGTGATACAATTCATGTTTATATATCTGTTATAGTTGTATCTTCTTGATGATTTTGGGTTTTTATTGTGATATTCTTCATTTCAATATGAGCTTTTTTCTTTCTTTTGGATAAATCTTTTTTTATTGTTATCTTTAGTTTTGTGACTAGAATTTTGTTTTCCTTTAATTCTGTTCCCTTGATTTTTTGATTTAAATCTTGAATTTTTTAATTCATCGTCAATTATTGGGATTAAACAAAGCCAATCTCCTTTTTTTTTTTGTATTTTCTTGATTGTTTCTTCTCTATTCTATTTACAATCGAATTCTATTTCTATCTAGCTGTTTTTGTTTGTGAATACTTTCTATACTGACTTTATATATTTATCTTTGTTTAGCATTCCTTCCATATTTTTGGTTCTTTCTTCAGAAGAATCTCCTGAAACCTTGAAGGCTGGTGCTTTTGCATGAAATAATCTGTCTTCTTCACATATTCTGTTATTAGATAACTAGATACTTTGTTTGATTGAGTCTCCTGCTTCAGCAAATTTGCTATCTTCTTTTTGTTTTGCTATTATTTGCTGAGTTTCAGATTTGATATTTTCTATTACATCTTGTATAATTCTTTCAATAAGGCTTTTTTATTTTTTTGGCCTTTTTGCCCTTGGGATTCTCATCATCAAAGACTTCTCTTGACCCTTTTCTTGTAGTTTGTTCAGTCTTTCTTGTTTCTTCATCTTTAACACTTATATCTATATTCTCTACTTGGTGTGAGAGGTCTTCTATGCTTATATTTTTTTTATTTCTTTCTTTTTTGTATCTTTGCTCTGTTTATGCTTTTTAGATTCTGTTGATTTGGCTTCTTCTTTTTCTTCTTTTTCTATTCTTATAATACCCTCTATTTTGTTTATTTCTCTTTTGATTTCTTCTTTGCTTATTTCTATTATATACTTGATTAACTTTAGGTTTTGATTAATTCACCTTGCTTTTTCTGTTTATTTTTCTATTTCTTTTTCTAGACAGCCACTAGCTTCAACTTTATATAAAACCTTAAGTATACGACTATATGCTAATACTTTTATTAGAGTAATAGCATACTTATTTTCTATTGTTAATATTTTGACTATATGTTTAATATTGCTAGGTTCAGTAAATATAATTTTACTAATTACTTCTTCAAGTGTCTTGTCGAGCAAATACTTGGCCGCAATTACACTTCTGTCCCAAATAAAATCTAGAAGATTTAGCTTCATTATTTTTACATTGATATTATATTCTAGAATAGAGTAAAATTCTAGTTTGTTATTGTAGATTTTATATTTACTATAATAAACTTCTAGAAAAATCTATTTCTAGTTGTTGATATATGTTATATTTGTATTATTTGTTTTGTTGTTGCTAATAGCCATGTGCACTATTGTTGATCTATAATTTTTGTTATGTCTAAAAAAAAAATTGTCGTAATCTACTGTTTGTTTATTTGTTTATCTGATCTGATATGTTTGTTTTGTTATTGATGTTTATGTGTTTTGAAGATCAGTTTTACAAGATTTTAGCCGATTTTCCAAAATTTTCAAAAATTTTTAAAAAAATTTTTAAAGTCTCTGTTTTGTTGCTAGCCTTGAGATTTTTATAAAAAAATATTCTAATAGACTAAAAGTTACTCCAAGTGCTCTTTCTTTTTCTTCAGTATAAGGAGACTTGTTTCCTATACTAGTTTTTAAGAAATTGTTGAATTGTTCTTTAGTCGATTCCAAAATTTGTTGTAAATTGTAAATCAGTAGAAAAAGTTGATATTTTGGTTTTTTTTGTATATAAATCCTTAATAAGTTAAAATCTTAAATAAGATAAATATATATAAACTATTTAGATAGATTATATTTAAATCCTCTTTAATAAAATCCAATAATAAATTTTTATTTTAAATGATTGAGTAATTCTTTATTAATATAGGCAAAAATAAATTATTAAAGATAAATTAGCCTCTACATACTGTATATATTTTAGACCAATTTAAATAATAAAAAAAGAATTGCTGAAGCTATAAAAATATATCTATTTTGATGCAACTAACATTCTTAATAAATATTACATAATTTTAGTACAGTCGTCCCTCATTAATATCAACCTATTTGGATCGCTTTTATATTCATGTTGATAGTGATATTAACGAGGGAGCATATTAAAGTTGATATATAGGAGGGAATTTTAATATCATTTAACATATAGAAATTCATTTTATATCCTAGGTTGATATTAACGGGGTTGATATTAATGAGGGACGACTGTATCATTTAATTCGATGAATCGAATAGTACCAAAATCAATTACTAAATCATGAGTAAAGATTGTTTAAAAAATATAGTCCTAATTTGATATAGTATCTATCTTGGGCTATTTTGGTTAAATAAAGCCTTTCTGATCTGACGCATATGTATGTTCACCGTATCAACATAATTAAAGCGATATATCAATAATATAATTAAAAAAACCGAGGTGCCCGGCGGCACTCATATGACAACGATTTGGCATTTTCATTGGCCAATTAATCATGACATAATTTTGAGTTTGGTGTAATGTCTACGTGTAGATCACAAATATCGGCCAATCAAAACCAATTTCCATCATGCTGATGAAATCTGATTGGTTGACCAGCAAAATTTTTTATGGTAACACTAGGGCAGTTGGTCTCTGGTGGTAATCATAGAACGCGCGACTATTAAAAAGATGACGACAACGCCGCCAGCTAAATCTGTCTTAAATGCATTAGCTAAACTTAGAGCCAAACTTTTTGATAATGTCTATAATCCAACTAATGTACGAACAGGCAACAAAGTTCTTCGACAACGACTCATTGGACCAACGATTACAAATTGGTATCCAAAGCAATTAATAGCTGTTCGTGAAATCACGGACATGTTTTCTGAATTTAACCTAGTAAATCAACAAGAGAAGCAGCGTTTAGAGGAAATTGCGAAACGAAAGAAGCGTGGAAAAGGTGCTCCAAAGAAAGGTTCGACCGTTTTACATTGCATAATTTAAAATTTTTATATAAGTCATTTAATAAAACCACTGCAACGTTATATCTTTTTAGGAAAAGGAAAACGGGCTACGATTGGTTCGAAGAAAAAATAAAGATAATAATATACCAAATAAAACATTCAAAAATATATTAAAACTTCATTTATAATCTATACGAGTATAATTGTCATACCTCTAGACAATTAAATTGATTTTTTTAAACATAATTTACATATAAATTATTTATAAACTTGTGCACTACTTATTTAAGCTGCTCTTCTCTTTGAAGAATTTCTTTATCCAATTGAATCAATATTGTGGTACGTAACGGAAAACTGTCTTGAGGAAGAGAATGAGCGGTCACTCGAGATGGCTTGAATTTGTAAAAGTAGTTAAAATACAACATTAATATCCAAGAATATTAGCAATGATAAATGACTCACAAATTGGGCACCGTCTAAAATTGCTTCAACAATTCCAGCAAGAAACGCGTTACAATTTAGTTGTGATAATTCCTTGGGCACAGAAATATATTTGCTTATTAGCGGATCATTATCTGATATCATGTCTGGTATAATTTGATTAATCATATAAATTAAATACGTTTAAATAAGTGAAAATAAAAAATTATGTAAAAATATGCTATACATTCGTCTTCGTGCTCTGTACTCTTCTCCAAAGAATCCGCTTGTTTGCCAAAAAGGGCTTTCCAGACTGTTGTATGAATGAAATATAATATTCCCAAAACTCGCGTTTCTCTTTTACTATTTTTTTCTCGCCACACAGTTAATTCTAGCAAGCGTGTTCCTACCCGATAGCCAAAATCATTCAGTCTACGCAACAATGATTTAAATGGACAAGAGGATAATAAACATATTAAAAGTTCTTGCTATGAATGTGCCTAAAAATTTTTGCTTGTTATCTATATTTACTTGCGTTCGAGATCCTGAATTCCATGCACGCGCTTTTG